CAACTCCAGGATTATTCCTTAATTAAAGTTTAAATGTATGTTTTATTGATGTTATGCAGGATGAATGGATCTGTGTCTTCATTTATAGTTCAGTTTTGGTTTCTTTGTATTTGGGGGCTTCAGTTAAACCTATTTAACTGAAACACAGTTTCACAGTAAACACAGTGAGAAACACAGGCTTCAGCTGTGTTTTCTCCCCTCTCAGTTTTCCTTTACTGTTCTGAGGCAGATTGTTCACTTTTGATCTGTTCCACTTTAGAGTCTGCATTTGCAAAAACTTCAGAAGTGCTTAAAATGTGTTACATCTCATGGAAGAGAAGAATGGACATTCACTGATTCTGTGTGTCTCTGCAGTAAGCAAAGGTGACACCACTTCTCCAGAACAGGTTCCAGTGTTCTTGGAGGCTGAGGATGACACCTTTTAAGGCTTGAGTAGCTAGGATTTATGCCTGTCTCATGCTATTGAGAACTGGTCCTTAGCCCATGGCTGGCAAAGAGGCAGCTAGCTGATGAGTAATTCTTCCATTTATGCGATTACATTAGTCTCATCTGGATTCACTCATCCGGTTCAAGGACAAGAAGTGTTTGCAAAGGCAGTCCATGGGAGATCAGTAAATAAATCCTTTCCAGGAGCAATGCAGAATTGCTCTGCAACAGAATTTCTTGTAAAGGTTGTGATCTGCTTCTTTGGAGGACTTTATGAACAGGTTGCACAGACATCTCTGAGAGGTGATTAAGGTGAAGTCAAAGGGTGAGATTGCAGACTTAAATGACCTGAAGAGTCCTCTGAGCTCTCTGCTTTTCATTCTTTGTAATAACAAGTGGAGGCTCTGTAGAACCCAGGCACCTCTAATGCTTAGATGCCTAGATAGTGTTATGGACACAGAGAAAACCAAGCTCCTTCTGTTATTAGAGTGCTTTGCTCCATTGTTGTCTAATAAAAATACATTAATAGTTCTGGACACATGTGCCCCTCTTTTCCACAGAGCACTGTAGTCATGAATCCCAAAAGCCCGCCTCTTTCCCTTCCCTTGTTTCACCCCACAAACGTCTTGTGTGCTTTGTGTTGCACTGTAGCTCCACTTTGACAGGAGCACAGTGTTCCCATACCAAACACCTTCTTGTCTGGCTGGCAGGAAGCTCTCCTGCTTGTGGGTCTGACCCCCGTGCCTGAGGTGGGTCTGGAAGGCAGGTGTGTCAGAGCAGTGCTCCACAAGTTCTGCTGTGCTCTGAGAACTGGGAACTACAGAACAATGACCATTTCTGTTTCTGATACTGACCTGATGGTAGTCTTGATTTGTGGTTGATATTCACGTGTCCTTCACACAGATTTCCCTTCCCTCCCTCACTCCGCAATGAGAAAACCACGTTTGTTCTCAGTGCGCTTGGCCTTGCCAGAGGCTTGTCCTGTTGCTTATGTCTGAGAATGTGAGTCTCATCATTGGAGTAATGAACCAGTTTTCAAATCCCCTGATTTCTGTTTCTGCTTGGTAGCTAATTGCGCCATTAGAAAAAGTCATGTAATATCAGCACATCAGCTTTCTTAGCTGAGAACTGGGTAATAGCTGACCGGGTGCTGAGGTAGAATCATAGAACAGTTAGGGTTGGAAAGGACCTTAAGATCATCTATTTCCCACCCCCCTGCCATGGGCAGGGACACCTCGCACTAAACCAGATCACCCAAGGCTTCATCAAACCTGGCCTTGAACACCACCAGGGATGGAGCATTCACAGCCTCCCTGGGCAACGCATTCCAGTGCCTCACCACCCTAACAGGAAAGAATTTCCTCCTTATATCCAATCTAAACTTCCCTTGTTTAAGTTTTAACCCGTTACCCCTTGTCCTATCACTACAGTCCCTAATGAAGAGTCCCTCCCCAGGGCTAATTACGATTCTTGAAAATCAGAGTAATGAAAAGAAGGCCTCCATCAGAAGTTGCTGTGAGAGTGGGCGATGCAGCCAGGTTTCTGCAGTGTTGGGATTGCCGGGGATTCCTTGCAGCAGCCAGCTTGTAGCTTGGATGGCCATTGTGCCCTAAGGTTCTCTTCAGCAAAGCTACCAGAGGCAAAGCAATGCTTTCTCTTTGCTCTGCATGGGAAGCAGCGGAGCTGCTGATTCTTTCTGCTTGTATGCAGAAAGATTGCTCTATATTCACTCCTTCTTTCCTACATACCCAAATGCACACTCCATGCTCACAAGAAATCATGACATTTGGCTCCTAGTTTAAAAGCGGCGTGCAAATACATAGCATTCATACATAACTTTATTACCTATCTCCTTTAAACCAAATCAGTGCTGAGAAAGAAAAACAAGGAAAACATGGAAAGCACATAGATTTTCCACTTGGCTGTAGTTTGGATTTTCAATAAAGGGGCTTTCATGCAGGCTGGGACTGGGTTACCAGGAAGGTATTAGAAATACACACACCTTATTCCAGCATGTATAGCTTGTAAGTGTTTCAGTCCAGAGGTGACCTGCTAGTACTTCGTGCTGATTGTGCTCCTAGTAGAGCAGTTGAGATAGCTCAACTCATGGTCGTGCAGCCAAACTCTTTGGACTGACCGCATGTCCATGCTGCCTACTGGGACCAGCTCCTGGCTCATGCACCTTGTGAACCATGTCTAGGAACTGCTTGAAAGAGCTGTAGTTGGCACAGACCACAGGCACGTTGGAGAGTGTGACAGGTACTGCATGGTAGCTGCCTCCTGGTGTTCAAGGCTATAGCCCATCCTGCTTTAGCTCATGAGTTTGGACAGAGCTATTGCATCCAGACAGGTAGCACACTGCTGGAAGGAGCCGCTGGACACAGCTGGAGCCCAGCCAGTGCATTTCTTGGGTCTGATTACAGTTCAGCAATGACTGAACCTGGTCTGGGGCCTGTCTCCAGAACTGGCTGGAATGGGCAGGTCTGCAGCACAAGGCTGTAATGCAGAAAGCAGGTCCTGGTGCTGTGTCACAACTTCTCCCCCACCTTCCTGCATCCAGCAGACAGTGGAAAAGCTGTGCCACAGCACCCTACAGCAGTGCTGTTGAGGCAGGACTATGGAAAAACATAACCATTGGACCTTCCTCCTTGAGCCCCACTCCATAGAGAATCTACCTGTGCACACGCACACAGGCTCAAAACCACCCAGACCTATAACTCTGTCTAGAGGGATTTGCAGACAGGCTTGTCAGGGGCAAGGTCAGATGAGCCAGAGACTCAGAAAGCACCGTGACTGATATAGGCAGGCTTCTTCCATTGGGAATGGTTTAGTTTAGGCAGCTGGAGAAAGGCCTTGCACTAAAACTTGGTGTCTCCAAGATGCTGTATGTACTAGAAAGGGAGAGGAAAACTGTGGTTGCTCTGTGAATCGTCACTGCAAGCAGCTCCCAGGCTTAGCACATCCTGCCACGGAGTCCAGTTCTTAACCAGTAACCGAAATACTGCTTGATTCATGCAGCCCAGATTTGACAGAAACATAAATTTCAAGTCCCATACTCCACTTGAGAAAAGTGTAAGGGCTTGAACTGATTTTCTGCTAGAGTTTGGGTTCAGACTGACTCATTAGGTTATAAATTACACAACTTGTCAGCGGTCCTCTTCCCCACCAGCTCCGCGGCAGCTCACCAGAGCCACTGTTCCAGCCTTCAGCTGCTCTGCCAGGGAATGGGGTTTTACCTCCGTCAGTTCTGCTCTGCTGCTCCTGCAGTGGGTACCACAGTCCGCATTCCCCTAACCCACCCCAGTTTACTACACTGGTATTTCTTACTGCACTCCAGCACTGCCGCATGGTAAACAGAAGTCTTGCTGCCGGACATGCTCTGCTCATGCTTAGTTCTTGGTACCAAAGTACTAATTACTAGACACCAGTTATTCCAAGAACCATAAGTCAACACATATTTTGCATCTACAAACAAATGGTAGTTGGTAGAAATAGCCATACCAGAGAGCACAAATAAACACCAGGAACTCTGTTCACAGTAGAACATTTATATGTAAGTAATTCTTTTTAAATGTGTGCTCTTAAATACCTTGTTTTATGGTAAAGTTGTCTTTTCAGCTATTGGAATCAGCTCCTCTTTCTCATTTCCAAATTTCTGGATGTCCAGTACCACTGGACAGTATTTCTCATGTAGTTTGCTGAGGTTTCCCCTAGATGTTGTTAATGGCAGCATTCTTTCTTGGCTGACACAAAAAGCATTGCTGAAATTTTGGGTTGTTTCTAACAGTGTCATTTACACAGACAACACATTGAGTAAAACAGTGATATATTACATATTCTGAAAAACAACTTATGCTTTTATCCCATCACTACCCCACTTGCAGCTACATAATCTTTCTGACCAACACAGAAGATAGATAATGCATCCTTATTATGAGACATTAGGAAATGATGCTTTTATGAAGCTTACCTTGTTTTGCTGGCTTCAGAAGAATTTTGGTGGACTGCTATAAAGTCATTTGGGAAAATACATGTAATCTTTGTGTTTGTTGCTTACACACTGTAAAACCATAAACCAAACACTGTTTTATGAAAATAACCATTCATTTGAAACACAAATTCATCCCCCGCAGCACTGCTTACACATCTGATTTGCCATTCTGAGAGTTACAGCTGGACGTTTGATTAAGAAAACTCATTAGAGAGGCTCAGTGATTGGAATATTACATCTGATATGAGCGTTCAAGTAAAGAGAATGAATCTGTATTTGAAACTGATGGCAAACGTCTTTCCTCGGTTCCCTGAGGTACTATGGGTTTGTGAGATGTCCATCTCAGCAAGTGGCCAGGGTTTGACTTAGGCAGATTTCTAATTTCTTATGTTTAAAAATGTTACTTTTTAAACTGTGTGGGTTTAACAAAATGCAGGACTTTTAACTTATTTTTCTAATAGGTCAAAATGAGAAGATACTGGCTAGGGACGTGTGGTGATAGAGTCAAATTGAGTAAACTGACTGAATGCTATGTTAGACCATCGTATGAACGGGGACTTAAAATACTTTCTTCTGATTGCAGGAATAGACAATCTCTATGAGAGGGCTCTTAACATCCGCAAACTCCTCCTTACTTTGCCCAGGTCGGTCCTTATAGTGATGAGATACCTCTTCGCCTTCCTTAACCAGTAAGTGCTTTGTAATTCCCTGAGGTACAGTATCTTTATCAGCCTTCCTCTGATTGTACTGAAGTTCTTTGGGTTTATTCATACTTTATGTAGAATTTACATTTAAGCTCCATTTAGCACAAAATATGATCTCTTCTAATTGGCAATGAAAATAGAAGGAAAACACCAGGTTTCATTCAAATTAAAATTCCATTTGTCCAAATCTGAGTAGTAGTAGTAGTAGTAAGAAGACAGATTAAAGTGTTGTCTGACATGGGGAGTGCAGGCTACACTATGTTACAGCATTGAAGCTGGTAACAAAAAAAGCTCATAAGAAAATTAACAAACACAAACTGTAACTGCCTTAAAAATAGCTTATGCAATTTAAAAGCAGAATATTCTTTTTTTGTCCTTATCTCAAGCTGATTTCAATCTCCTGACAATAAAAATAAACAGTATATTCAAGCAGCACAGGCACTGCAGGCTGCCTATTTGGTGCTAGACACCCCCAGGCTGAGATTTTGTGTTGCTGCTTCTGTATTCTGCTAAAAGGACAAGCAGGATAGAGGACATATAGCCAGTGTGTATGCTTTGACATAAAATATCTTGGTTCTCACATTGCAAAACGCAGGCAGCTGCTGGAAGGAGGGTTTTGTCAGAAAAGGAAAGTGGTGTTTGTGTCTTCATCACCCCAGAAAAGCTCCTTTGTTTTCTTCATTCAGAAAATGAAGGACAGGTTGGGCAATTGCACTGTTTCATCCTCCAGTCTTTCACAGCCCTCTCTGGTTTTGCTGACCCCAGTGTGCACTTTGCCCCGATTCTAGCTGCCATGTTGTCTGTTTGCTAATGTATCTGTTTTCATGTTGCCTTTTTCCTCCTTTTTTTTCCTAAATTTGCCCTCTGCTGATTCATTCTGTCTTTGTGACCTTCCCCATTTCATCCATCCTGTCTGTTCCTATAGAAACAGGATCTTTGCAGCCAGGTTATGTGTGCATGCCTGCATTCACAGCTGTTCCCATTTCCTTTCTTCTGGTAATTTCTGAACCTCTTTCAAGCAGTATTTTAAAGAGGGGCAGAGATCTAAAGTGTTATGAAAATTACCATTCCTTTGAAGCACGAATTCAGCCCCCAGAAAGGCACTGTGTAAATGTCTTGAAGGCTTATATCACAGCTTGGCCTCTACTTAGACATACAGATTGACCAGAGCTATGAGGCTATACCTGTTACACAATCATGTTAACTACATCTGTGCTCTCCACAGGAATGCAATTCAGAAAGCAGGCTAACTCCCAAATTGTCTTGTTGCATCCACAGGAAAAAACATTCCCATAGTGTGACTTTCTGCAAATCCAATTCTGCTTTTTGCATATGCAGTTCTGCCTGCTTGGCCACATGAAATCGTCAGACCTCATGGCAGACCTCACCTGCTCTAGCATCCTGCTCAAAGCTTCTAATGTTAGATCAAGCTGTTCTAGGCGATGTCCAGTCCAGAACCACAAAGGGCAGAGAATCCACAGCCTCTCTGTGTTGCCTCCAGAAGGACAATTCAGTCTGCCTAAGTTACATAGGCAGTTGATGGAAAAGATGTGTCAAGGTCTGATGAAACATTATGGGCATGTATATCCGCGTAGCATCCAGTCCACTTGGGCCTCCAAGGTTAAACACAATGAGATAGAAGCAGCAGCAGCTAATGCATTTTACGTTAGCCCTTTAGGTTGCATACGCTAAACACAATGGTGTGAGAACACATACATACATATACATACATATTCATGCTATAAACTGGCTTTATAATGTATATAGCCTCTTGAAGAAATCTCCTTTTTTGTTTTGTTACCTTATGTGGGATTAAGTGCCAAGGAGAACAGGAAATCTCTAAATTGTGATGGAAAATAAGGTTTCTCCAGAATAAGGTTAGTCATAGAGGAAAAGACAATTTTTCTTGGTTTTTCTATTACAACAGCCTTTCTCAGTACAGTGATGAAAACATGATGGATCCATACAACCTGGCCATTTGTTTTGGGCCAACCCTGATGCCTGTTCCAGACATACAAGACCAGGTGTCTTGTCAGGCACACGTGAATGAGATAATCAAAACTATCATCATCCATCATGAGGCCATTTTTCCAGATGCTAAAGAACTCGATGGCCCAGTGTACGAAAAATGTATGGCTGGAGATGACTACTGGTAAGTCAGAATACTTATTACCCTTCTATCTCCTTAACAAACTCATTAGGCTGGTTGTCTGGAAAACTCCTGTGGTACAGAATTACTTTTGCACACAGTAGAAGTATGCAGAGAAACTAAAATAACATTCAAGTCAGATAGGAAAGTGTTAGCTATAAAAATACATGAAGCAAAAGGCAATCGTGATGAGGTTCCCTACATTTTGTGGAGTAAGCTACCCTTGTGTTCATCCAGGAATTCCAGGGGTACTGTGCAGAGCACACAGACAGGTAGGAAACTGGCTCTCTGGCCGTGAACCACATTAACAAATTTCAGCTTATGAAGCCTTCCCTCTGCTCCCTTCCCCTCTGTCATGGTTTAACCTGGCAGGTAGTTAAGCACTACACAGCCACTCACTCCCCTCTGTCCTGGTGGGATGGGGAAGAGAATAGGGACAAAAAGTAAAATTCATGTGTTGGTGTAAAGACAGTTTAATAGTACAGAAATGGAAGGGGAAATAATAAGGACATTAATAACAATTATAGAAGAATTAGAATATATATAACAAGTTATGTACAATTGCTCACTACCCACAGACCAGTGCCCAACCAGTTCCCAAGCAGCAGCCTCCAACCAGCTTTCCCTTCAGTTTAGAGCATGACACCATATGGCATGGAACATCCCTTTGGTCAGTTAGGATCAAAGGGAGTCCCCCCCCAGGTTCTTGTTCACTCCCAGCCTGCTCACTGATGGGGTGGGGTAAGAGGCAGAAAACACCATGACAGTGTATAATCACTGCTCAGCAACAGCTAAAACATCAGTGAGTTATCAACATTATTCTCACACTTCAGCCAAAACACAGCACTGCACCAGCTATTGGGAAGAAAATTACCTCTATCCCAGCTGAAACCAGGACACTCTCCTAGCAACACACACATGCTGCTTATAAAGGATTCCAAGGTTCTGGAAACTTAGGGATAACTGAAGATGCAGTTTGAAAGAGAGCATGTAGGCTTCTTTAGTAACTATGTATTCATAGAATGTCACAAGAATTATGTTGCACATAACTTTATAACATTGCAAGAATAAGTTTAAATAATCTCTTGGGGTGGCATATTTTTGATATGTGTGTTTCTGTGCTCAACCTTTTGCTTCCCTTCAGTGACAGCCCATACAGCGAACATGGTACATTAGAGGAAGTGGACCAGGATGCTAGTACAGAGCCCCACACCAGTGAAGACGGTATGTCTGTCACATTATTGTGCCTTTGATGGGAGTAAGTTTTACAGGTGTTTCATGCGGGAGACCTTCCTCCTTTCCTCATTGTGCCTTATTTGAAAGAAGGGGATTTCAGTCCTGGTGTTCTGTAGGAAAGCCAGAATCTCTAATCTCTGTTTGTGTGCTTTTTCACCCTGATTCATCTGTGTTTGACCAGCTGTTTCCTTGTTCTCTCTTGATTTGCACAGTCACAGGAAGGGCAAGAGAGAAACTATTTCAGTCAGCACATATTATTTTCTGATATAGTGTTACATTCTTAGAGACCCTTTACCTTTTGTCTGCAAAAACTAGACCTATCAACTGTGTCTTTAAGTATTTCAGCTAAGGGATATTTGCCATTCAGTGGACTCTGTTTTGGTATGAATTTTAAAGCTGTTCCATTGAAAGGATTTATAGCTACTGAAAAACATGTGTGACCCCCTACAGTGAAACTTCTGAACAATAGTCGTTTGCTATAAATATTAATCACATATACTCTGACAGTTCTGATTGCAGTAGATATCCATGGGAAAAAATGATGCCTTTCTGTTATATTAATTCTTTTTAGCCAGATTTCCTAAAGGAGTATTGACTGTGATATATTTCAGTTGAACCATCCTTCAGGTGGCCCTCCCAGTAACTTCTGCCCAGTTTCACGCAAGTGTTGCAGATGGAAAGAGGTGGCACAGTTATTAAGCAGCTCCCATTTTCCTGACGATTAGTAGCCATTTAGAGGTGGAGGTTTCAGAATAACAATCCTGTAGAGAAGAGCTGCAGCATGAGCTCACTGCATATCTGGCCAGCAGGCAAGCCAGAGAGAGCAACCAGCACACATGCAGTTAGCACCCTAGCTAAGCTTCCCTTTGTCTGTCTCAGAGGATGTGTGGAAGGAGGAAGAGGAAGAGACAGGGAGGAAGGGGAGGAAAAGAGCTACAACAGAGAGGGGATTTGTTTTTAAAGTATGTCATAAGGGATACTGGTTAGCGACTGGGATGACTGCCATAGGGAAGGGGAACAGGAAGGAATATCTATAGGAAACCTGGCTACACTGGTCCCATTGCACACAGAACAATGTAAACATAGTTCCACTGTAGCTAAACCCATCTGCTTTGCCACGTAGACAAGCTGTCAGTGACAGATTGCTTGTCTCTTCCCCTTTGCCATGGTGAGGAGGGGCAGGCACAGTCTATCACTGCAGATGTTTGGAGAGGAGGGACAGTTGGGTGAGCAGGCATCCCAGAAGGCGGTGGGAAACTGAGGATAGGAGAGAAGTCAGTGTTAATCTTCTGCCTGGGGTGTAAACCCATGCCTGCACCCACAGTAGGGAGTGCCAGAAGTCTTGCAAGATAGCCTGTACATGGTTCCTCTTGATCAGCTCTGTAGAGCTGACCCCTCACCTTTCTACAGCACAGCTCTGCTAAATGGTGTGAACAAACTCATAATTGCATTTTATTTTCCCAAGATAGTATAGCTACACTTTATAAGAGCTCCTTCTTCCATTGGAGGTATGAAGCAAGAGTGGAAGCTGAAGAAGTGTCTTCAGGGACTGTAGTGACAGGATGAGGGGTCATAGGTTCTAACTTAAACAGGGGAAGTTCAGGTTAGATACAAGGAAGATACAAGTTCTTTACTGTGACGATGGTGAGGCACTGGAATGGGTTGCCCAAGAAAGTTATAAATGCTCCATCCCTGGCAGTGTTCAAGGCCAGGCTGGACAGGGCTTTGAGAAATCTGGTCTAGTGGAAGGTGTTCATGCCCATGGCAGGGAGGTTGGAACTGGATGAGCTATAAGGTCCCTTCCAACACAAACCATTCTATGATTCTAAGTTCGTCTGTCTCTCATTTAGAGCACAAGTGAAGCAGTGAAATCCTGACACACTCTGTTGTGTGCTGACACACTGGTTCAGCTGGGGCTAGTTTTGGGGTTCTGTGACCAAACTGAGAGACAGTATGGGTATGGAAAATAAGTGCAGCTTTTCAGCAGCACTCTAAAGCACTTACTTCATGACTAGGAAAGATTAAAACACCACCAGGATCCAGAGGAGCAGGACTGTGGCTTCACATAGTGAAGGCTTCACCTGTGCCTCAATGACCATGGGCTCTACCTCGCCACAGTGTTATAATAACAGTTTTACGTTCCTGTTGTGGTGCTGCCTATGGTATGACTGTGTTACTGGTGAAGAGAAACCCTGAAGAGAATAGCTGTCAACAGGACAAAGTTCTGGTAGATGATGTAACTGCTCAAGACATGGGATTTGCTCACCAGATTGGTCTGGAATTTCATTCGTGTTGCCCCATTGCACGTTTTTAAGTAACTCATTGAGAAAGGAAGTGGGCATTTGTGTTTAGGGAGAAATGTTAGCCCGAAAATATTTGTAATCTGGCAAAATACTGCTGCAAAGGTAAAGATTAGCAAGTCTGCATCACATACAGGAGTGTTTTGTAATTCTGTTGATCACTGGAAAGGGAAAAAGGAAAGAGAAGGAGACACATTTTACTGTAGTGTTTGCAGTCATCTTTAAATGTGCAGAAACTGTCCCTGTTAAGGAAAACACCTAAGTTTCTTCTTTCTCCTAAATCTGGAATGAAATGAAATCGAAAATGTGAAGTTCAGAACATTTATGCTGAATCTGATGCACAAAATATCTGTCGTTTTACTGCAGAAGAGCCTTTACCTGAAAGTGCCTGTATAGTAAAGAGTCAGGATATTGTTCATGCTTTGCTGAAGCAGTTTTTAGCATACTTCCTTTAACTTTGATTTGCTGGAGGTTTTTTATTCTTGTTGGAGGCACATGGAAAAGGGTGGCTAGGTTTGTTTTCAAAGGAAGTAAGCGGGAATTTCCTGAGGAAGTTAAATAGATAGGTGTCTCCTGGGGAAACATACATATAATTAATATCACACTGTTCATAGGTATCTCATAAACATAGGGTAAAAACTGAGATGGTAGTTCTGCTGGAAACAAAAATTACAGGGACACATAGGACTGTAAGCTGTTGTTTTGTTCCCAACACACAGTAATTTCCCCACTTTTCAGTAGTGCATGCTGTGATCAGCATTTTGCCACATTCTGTTCTGTCAGCACCTTGCAACATTTCTTTGCTGCTGTTGTTCCCCAGCCAGAGAACCACTGTCCTGGAGACAGGACTTGGAAATTGCAAAGCAAAAGGGAATTCCCTGATGGGGTGCAGAAGGGGGATAAAGACACTGGGAGGTAGTGTCTTCCCTGGACATACTCTGTTCCCAGCAGCCAGGGTACATCTGAACAAGGGCAGAGCAACCCACCCCCTTCACCTCCACCCAAGAAAGAAGTGCAGAGGATGGTCTCCCCTCTTCCTTAGCTCCTCGTGCCTTGAAGCAGAGAGGGCAGCACAATGCCACTTCATTGCCACCGCCCCTGGAGGGAGGTTAGTGCTACGTCTGGCACTCCAATCCCCAAACTGAAATTAGCACTTGGGTTTCTTCTGCCCTTTCTGCTCTTGCAAGCAGCGAAGCTTTTCCCACAGTTCTTCAGTTTGTCCTAGTTTTTCACTTCCATAGCCTCACCTGAGTCACTGGAGGTGATAGCTGGTGAGATACTTCATGTCATCAAATCCTTTTGCTGTTGTAGGCAGATGCTCGCAGTGTGGACATAGCAGTGCAATCGCATTGCCCTCCAAGCTGTCAATTTTACCATTAGACATTTGGTACTACACAGATTTTAGTTACAGATCCCAAATTTAGCTTTCATCACTCATTTTGGAAATGCTTGTCATTCAGTAAATCTTGATTATTAAATGGCTTAACTTTTAAAAATGCATTTATTTCTAGAAGTAACTGTCATGGTACTTTGGTTTTAACTACTGAGGCTTGACCTCTAACAAGGTGAATTACTGTTTAAGTACAGCCTCAGTACTGTTTGCCCTGTCCATGTAGAAGCAACATTCAAGCAAAGAAAATGCCCCTTTCAAAATGGTAAAGCCTGCCTGCGCTTACTTCTTCCTCTATTAAGAAAACTGTGTGAGATTTACTGGGCACTTCTCCCTGAGGAGCTGGGATTTCTTACCCAGGCAATCTAACAAGCATGTCTCAGAAGTCACATCCATTATGGGTACATTACCAATTCATACAGCTGATTCCAGGGCAGACCTCTGAGAAAGTGTGTGAGTCTTGCAGGCAATGGAAGGATACAAAAAACAGATTCCCGTCATGCACCAGACTTAGATTAGTGTAATTCCACTGAGGGAGATAGAGCTATTTCTAGTTCAGTCCATTAATTTGTAAATAGAAAGACCTGTATGCTCAAATGTGGATACTGCGTGGTCTGTTGAAATTAGCAGAGAAATGGGAAATCCCACAGATAATCAGTGTAGGGATTTATCAATAAATCCAGTACCCTTGACCGTTACCAGTTCACTTCAGAGAATGTCAAAGGAAAATATGTACAGGAAAGCTGGGATTTTCTTACTTGCTGTAAAGGTTTTTTGTTCAGCTGGGGTTTCTTTAAAGTATTACCAGTTAGTGAGTGGCTCTCTGAAAGCTGGGAGCTTTTGCTTCTGAATTCTTGACCCACTCTTCCATAACCCATAATTTACCTGCAATCTGAGAACAGCGTGTTCATACAAACATCTGCTCCTTTTCAGTTCTACCTAATCCCAGTAATACCTTCTTATAATGAATCCCACAAGCAACATGCATGATATGTATAGAAACGGTGTTCTTTTGTCAGTGTTGTATTATTGCCATTCAACATAATACTGCCCTCTTAAACACAATGCAAAATAAATAGGCATGTTTAGTTTCCTTTCTTGTCGTTTGGCAGTGGGGTCTTTCCATGCCTATAGCTGCTTTGTCCCATCTGTACTTTCTGTTAGAGGTAGACCACAGACATAGTATCTAGAAATGACTGCAAGATTGTATATTAATATATATACACCAGCATCAAACATTTTCCAGTTTTACAGAATGTTTCTTCCTATGCCACCTTTACATTTTCTTTCCCTAAAAAACATCAAACCAAGAAGCCTATCATCTCCCACTCACCCACCAGGGAATGCTGCCAACAAGCCATGCTGTAGGGGTGCATTTTCAGGAGTTAATACTGCTATTGCTAGGTTCTCATTGACGCTTATATAATCAAAGTCATTTCTGCCAGCATACATTACTTTTGCATTTGTAGCAGTGAATTCCCCATACCACTGCCTGCCATCCTTGGAAAGGTTCTGAGTTTGTAACTCCTAAACACCCTGCAGGTCATCACTGTCAGGAGCTCTAAGCCTGACTGCAGAAGCAGCAAACCACAAGGCAGCCTTCTGCAGGCTGGGCAAGTTATTAAAGAAACAAGCTGTAAAGTGTAACCTCAATAAAGGTGCTTTCATTATGTTTTCATGCTGCAGGAGGAAGTTAATTTTAAAAAGACATCCCTGTGCAAAACGTTATCATAAGGGGACAGTCACTTTCATTACCGGCCCGGTTCTTTGGGGAGTTACAGCATCAGCAATTTTAGTTTGTACAGACAGAAAGTTACTATGCTATTCATTAGCCCAGATGTTGAATTTCCATCTAAATATTGCTCTAATTGTGTAAAGAAATTTGTCATTTTGGGGACTCTTGAGTTATTGCATTCAGTAAAGTGTTTGATTTTTAAACCTGTATTTTGCAGATTTTTCCTTTTTGAGACTGTGATGACAGTTAGAGCTCAGGTACTTTTAGTTTTGTGCAGAAGAAATTAGAGGTGCTAAAATCATAGCTGTTTCACCAGTGTCCAGGCACAGCTCTGAAGATTCCTGCAGGCAGACCCTCCGCAGGGGCCCTTCACTGACATCAGTAGGTTTGCAACCCAAGCACAGGTTACAGGACAGAGTCCATCACCAGTGTAAGGCTGGATTTACCAGCATACCGACAGAAAATTAGCCAGGACTGCTATAACCAATGTTTGACTTCAGAAAATACCAGTCTCCAGCGCAGAAGCCAGAGGAATTTGGGATTCTGGAGTAGGCAGAGCTGCTTCAGGCAGCTTCAGTCCACACAGGGACTGTCCCTATGGAGGACTCATCCTTAGGTGTCTGCTTCACTGAAAAAGGGTGTTAAGGAAGCAGATTAAAGCACTGGGCTTCAGTGTTGACTAAAAGACTAGGTTTTCACTAGGTCTGCATGCTCGTCATGTAAAACACAGAAGTGTCATCACCCAATTAAGCAAAGTATCCCTACTCATGAACAGATAAATCCCATCTTCCTTTGCCACTGCACATGTTAAAGATGCTCCAGTTTACTTTTTCTTTATCAAACTGGTTCCTCGGGTCTCTGATTGTTTATCTGAGTTTGTTCATCTTCTTTTTGGCCTCCATCCCACGCCCCAGCCATGAAGGAGCCCTTGCAGCAGGAGGCAGAGGCCTCTGTCCCAGCAGCAGCTATTGTAATGTTTGAGTATGCTGCTATGTTTTCTGCAGCTTGTGAGGCAACCCAGATGCTTTATGCTTGTGGCACAGATTGACTGTGTTTCTTTGTAAGGGACATATTATAACTACTGCCTGAAGTCTGCCTTAGCTCAGCTGCTCTCTGATCAATAAGAGTGAGTGCTGAGAAAATGCAATAAATGAGGTTTATGAAACCAAAAGGAGCAGATAAGCCATGTGGAATCTGATACCTATTCTTCTTCTTGTCTCTGTACCCAGAGTGTGAGCCCATAGAAGCTATAGCAAAGTTTGACTACATTGGAAGGTCTGCACGAGAACTCTCTTTCAAGAAAGGAGCTTCCCTTCTGCTCTATCACCGAGCATCTGAAGACTGGTGGGAAGGAAGGCACAACGGAATTGATGGCCTTGTCCCTCACCAATACATAGTGGTGCAGGATATGTAAGCAGTGTCTGGTGTGACTAGATTGTTAATGGGGTGTAAAAACATACTGAAGCAATTAACAAAGTGGTTTCCCAATGGAACAGTGGTTTGAAGTCTCAGATAGGTAAAACATTTGCCTTCTCTGCAGGATGCCTCTGTCTTTATTGCCCTGAATTGACAGCTCTTAATCAAAAGATACTGCTAGGCTAAGCTACCTTGTTTATGGGTATGTTCCCAGTACATTAAGGGGCAATTGTTGCTGCACCTATTTTAATTTTACTGTCTCTTTGCAGCAATTGCTGACATTTAACTTTAGAATAGCAAGGGCTGGAGAAATGCAGCCTTCAACTCTTGTTTTACAGTATTAAGCATGTACTTTGACAAGGATGACAGAGTTCTTCCCTACAGGAAAGTTAAAATGAAATGTAAAGAGCTCAGTAAACAGAAGGATTATAAGGGTTTTTTGGAGACATGGAGGGGCTGCAGTGCATTAAAACATGCCTGGTTTCCTAAGCATAAGGGGGTAAATACCTGGGAGTGCCAAGGTACTCTCTGTCACACTTAACTCTCTGACTTCTCATCTCATCTTGTGTGTTCTGTTCAGGGATGATACTTTCTCAGATACACTGAGTCAGAAAGCAGACAGTGAGGCCAGCAGCGGACCCATAACTGAGGATAAGTCATCATCAAAGGACATGAATTCTCCCACTGACCGTCACTCCGACGTGTATTCAGGAAGGTAAGCTGGAGCAGAACGTGTTTTCAGTAGTGCTGCACACAGCTCAGGTTATACAGCAGTCACCTCTCCACGTGTTGATGATGGGTCACTGTGACTTGTCCTATAACCACTTCTTCATTGGTGCAGGCAACGAAAGAGATCAGAACCTCCACCTCCTCTAAGACGCCCTGGCAGGAGCAGTGATGGTCACTGCCCCGTACACCCTCCTCACCCTCTCTCCAACTCGTCTGTGGATCTAGGTTCCCCCAGCCTGGCAACTCACTGCAGTCCCAGAGCCCTCCTTCAAAATCGCAACCTCAATGCCGACAGCCCTGAGAGGCGGCGCAGGCCTGGCCATGGCAGTCTCACCAACATCAGTAGGCATGATTCCCTAAAGAAGATCGATAGCCCTCCGATTAGAAGATCTACGTCATCCGGTCAGTACACGGGTTTCAATGACCATAAACCACTGGACCCAGAGTCAATAGCTCAGGTTTGTGTTTCCTTTATTTCATGTCACTCTCTGATTTCCTGTGGAGGGAGCGTTGGTGAATAGCATAGCACAGAGCATATATGCTGGTAGGGGTGGGTGTGCAGGAGATTATCCTACTTAGCTTTCTAAATAGAGTGTGTGTGAAAGAAGGTGCACTAAGGGATCCTGGATAGAAGCAGCACAAGGGGGAGTAGACGTTGCAGAAGCAATAAAAAGAAATGATTTCCCGTTATAGTGTAATGAAATTGCCTCTGCCAAGCGAAACAGTAGGATAGTGTATGATTACAACAGCTGTGTAAATCACCGTGCTCTGATGAAGGCTGGCCTATTCTAACTTGCATGTAATTAGTGTTCAATTATTTCACAGTATTATGGTATGTAGAAAAGTGCTCCGACTGACTAGCAGCAACCATTGCCATTCAGAGCACAGATTTGCATTCCAGGGTGTTGTGAATTTGAGGTAGTTTTTGTATAGTTCTTACGTAGTTCATGCTATGTGTTCATTTGATGCTTGGAGTTGTGCCTAAGAACCATAATGTGCAAGCCATCGCACCTGCGTAAATCGTGGGCCATCTTATGCCCATGTGAACGCTCCCCACTCTCATTCCTGGCAGTGAAGAGGTGAGAAGGATGGAATAGGGAGCACCCTGAACATTGAATTGTTCCGCTGTAGAGAGCTGGTAACAGCTCTTGAGCAAATAGATAACTGCTGTCTGCAGAACTCTCATTTTGCCTAGGTAGGATAACTTGATTACTGGGGGCACCCTGAGGGCACGCTATGATTGCAGAAGTATTTTACAATAACACTGGCACTCGTGTTTTAAAATTTAATGTACTGGTAATGCTTGCTTTCAAACTCTGCTTCCAGCAAGGGGTAGCAGGGACTGTCATGCTTGGGTCAGAAAGATGAACCATGTATTACAGTTAGAAAGTGTAAATGTTGTCACTGTTATATTTTACTGTTATTTATGCACTTCCTAGAACCACACAGAGTGCTGTTTGGCTTAAAGCTGTTGACTTTTTTTACACACCTGGACTCGTGATCATTCGGCAATTAGAAAGAAAACTGAAAGTCACTGCGAGCAAGCAGGAAACAACAGATATTTTAAGCTTAGCTGTATCTCAGTACCACTGAAAAGTAGTAAATTAGTGTCTTGGTGTGCTCTTTTAGTATTTTGCCAGAAATTCTGATGAAAAGCTCACTGAACAATACCTTGCATTTTTTTTCTGCTTAAGGTTTAACTCAGAGTCACAAGAGGAGAGAAGAGCTGATAGGCGCACAAGCTTTAGTTCCTTCCAAAACCAGGTTTTATCATCCATTTGAGGGAGTAGGGATCCTGAACACCTGAGGCACTAGACAATGGAAGCAGTTAGTGAAGAGTGAGCAAATGGACTAAAATCCCTGCAGCTGCCAGTACACAGGAGATGACAGAAATCTTCACAGTTAAAAACACTGCTAAGCGAATACCCATTGCCTTGAGAGTCAGTTCGTAAAATGGCCTGAAGTTTTGGTTTAATTGTTTTTTTTGATTCTCTCATATAAACAGATTAGATGTTTGTAATGTCCAGCCAAAGCTGCCATCTTGACAATCATAATGTCTTCCAAATAAATGTGGTGGAAATTGGTTTTAGCGCTGTAATACTCTTTAAAGAGAGGATGGTTGGCAGTTTAATTCATGCATTTTTTCACCCCGTCCTTTTGCTCCTCTGATGCTTTGCATTCAGGAGTAGTTTGAATGACCTGCTGCTCTCTGTGCTCTGACCCAGGACATTGAAGAGACAATGAACACGGCGCTGAACGAGCTCCGTGAGCTGGAGCGGCAAAGCTCAGCCAAGCACGCCCCTGATGTTGTGTTGGACACCTTGGAACAAATGAAGAACAGCCCTACCCCTGCCACCTCCACGGAGTCACTCAGCCCTCTCCACAGTGTCGTTCTAAGGAGCTCCGAGCCTCAGATCCGCCGTAGCACCAGTTCTTCCAGTGACACCATGAGTACTTTCAAGCCCATGGTGGCCCCTAGAATGGGAGTACAGCTGAAGCCTCCTGCTCTTAGGCCAAAACCTATTGTTCTTCCAAAAACAAATCCTAGCATAGGGCCTTCCCCTTCTTCCCAGGGTCCAGCCGACAAATCTTGCACAATGTAGACAGCTCAGCCACCCACAGTGCCTGGCTGGGGTATGCTAGGGAAAAGGATGGAGTAACAATAGAAGTCAGGGCTCCGTAACATCACATGTTCATGTTTGTAACTGGAGAGGCTTTGTTTTTCAGTGTTTTTGAATGTATTGTCTGAAACTAGCTACATTAACATGGGCATTTTTATTTTGTATGGTTTCAATTAAAAGAAAAACTGGACAATTGTGCATCGTTTTAAAAAACAAACATAAACTTACTTGAAAACTTGATGCTGCACCATTTGTAATAAAATCAACACGGATCACAAACGGCTTGCCACATTGTACCATACTTCACAGTCTTACTGTAGCTATGTAATAACCCATCCTGCACAAAACTAAGGGGTGGGAGGGGTTGGGGGGGGGGGGCAGGGGAGGTGGGACCTCTCACTTCCAGGTCACCAAACCAAATCTCAGTTAGGTTAGTAAGAGCTGAAATCTAGCATGTGAGGATTAAGTGTCTGTGTGGAATGTTTAAGTCATCTCAGGCCACATTTCTTACTTAAGACACAGCAAAAGAAGCAAACCAACAAACCCACCACCAAACCCTCACAACTCCTATAATTGGCACCAAGTTTCGCTCTTGTGTTCGTGGTCTCACAAAAGACAAGTGCTAGATGATGTGGAGATCGCATTGCCCTCACTGGTAAAAAGCAGCATTCCAGGTCACAGCTAAAGCACATCTCCGGGATTGCATCTGGAAACTACTTTTGCTGCCCTTCATTCCCTGATACTGCATTTTCCACAAGAGCTGAATTCATTTAAAGTCTATAGTTGAGCGAGCCAGGCTCTGGGAAGTATGTGAACCTAGTGATCCATTGTGCAGGCTGATAGGCCATCGGAGCAATCAACTGCACGGTAGTTTGGCAGAGCCTCCTGTTGACTTTATTGCTCAGTGTCCTATGAAAGACAGGATTTGAATGGTAACAGTGTTTGGAGCTGACCCAGCTCCACTGCCTGCCTTGCCCAGTGCAAACACAGCTCATGTCCCCGTTACGCTGATGGCAGCAAGACGGGGACTCTCTGAAAGGGGCCTCCTCCTGCATCAGTGCAGGGTCACTCACGGGACAGGCAGCTGAGTTCCTACCACCTCGACTCAAGCTGACTAAAGCTTCCATTACCACTTCCCTCCTTCCCCTTTCTTTTACAGTGACAGAAATCAGTACCTTCCTTCTGTCTGTGTGAGTGACGGCTGTCAACTTTGCTTAGCGCTCTGTTGTTAGACTTTGTGAGGCGTGAACTAAATGTACAGCTGTTTTGCACATTGCGACAGTAAGCCATAATATATTTTCCAACATCCAATTCATAAAGTAAGTTTCATTGAAGAGATGGGGGGGAAAAAAAGTTCATTGTGGTCCACCTATAGGAGTACAACTGGCTTTAAGTAAGACTTGTCTTTCCATTGGAAAGCTTGAAGGCTTGTTGTTGAAAGCTATGTACCGCTCACTGTACGTAACAGGTGAGTTTGGGAGGAAAAGAGTAGTGATAAAATTTGATGGGCATAATTAATTACTGAGGTGACAGGAGTAATTGCCTGTTGTTACTTAGGAGCAACTTGTTCCTGCTCTGGTTTACACCCTGTAGATAGGTAATACAAAGCCCCAAGTGTGAGAAGTAGCCCACAAACTGCCTCAGAGGCTCAAACTGCTCCTAGTATTTGCAAACCCTTCTCAAACCAGCCACAGACTTCATGCACATGTAGGTTAGAGGCAAAGACTTAGCCCTCCATGGCGACCGTGAGCAGTGCTCAGTGAACCTGTGGTCCTCTCACCTTGGCTGCCTGGTCCTAACACTAGGGCAAGAGCCTAAGCTAGGCCAGTGCAGTGCTGGGCTATAGGGTCTGTTCACTTGGTCGGGACCAGAGCTGTTTTGAAGTAGTTCCCCAATGTACTAGACTCAGTGGAACAAACTGGAATTCCAGCTTTCATTGACATGCAGTTTTAGTCCCATGCGTTTTTCAGTTGACACACCCCGCATAATTGAGATGGATACCTGTATCTTTAAATGGCATAGGGAATTTTGTATGTTTAAATAACTGTACTGGACTCCATAATACTTATATTAGAAATTGTTTAGCAAAAGAAAATATTAGAAACAGTGCATTTAGTGAATGCATCCACTTAGTGCATTCACACAGTTAAATGTGTAGTTTGATGGTTATTATAGATACTTAAAAGTATAGTAAGTGGATATGTAACAGGAAAGACTGCTACAACTACAGACGTACTAAAGGGTAACTCCTGCACACCTAATCCAATCAGTATTGTCCTTTACTGTCAAGTTTGATAAGTTGCAGTACTGGTAGCTTCCTGCTTGTTGACTGTTACCTAATTGTGTCAATGTACATCTGTAGTATGTACATGTGAAAGTGCCTTTAAATTTTAGAGGAGCTTTAGCCTTGCTCTTGTACTGTTGCATTTCCATTGCATCCTTCCCTGTTCGTGTATGGCTGCATTCCCATTGCATTCCTTCCACTCTTGGAGAACAAATAAAAACATGGAATTTTCACGGTTCTGGAAGAGAAATGTACTGTTAATCTGTTGTGACAATGCACTTTTATGTATAGTACTGTACATTTTTGGCATGTACCATTACAAGCTTCCGTATACATTCAGGTTTGTTCCTCATAGTGTATCTTTATAATAAAGAAGATAGTTCTGTCTTTGCGTGTAGTTTTGCTGGGTAAATCACCATGTATTCCAACATTCCAACCCCGATTGCCAGTCTACCTTCCACATAAAGGGAACACTATTGGCAATCCCCAGCTACCCACACCCCACCCTGCATCTGGTCCCATCAGTGTCTCAGCCTGAAGAATGCTCGTTCCCGGACAGACTCCTATCTAACTTAAAGAGCACCATCCCCATAAGCTCACTCAAGCCCCTCCATACCTGAAGACCATCCCAAAAGAGCCACCAACCTCATGCAGCTCTTCCTGAGCACCCATCAAGGGCAGCCAACCCCATTCACACTGGCTGTGGAATTCCCCAGCCACCCAATTGGCCACTACCCCCCTCCTGCTCCCCACGGGAATAACAGGGTGAAAACAACACCCCTGCTTCCACATTTTATAAACATGGTCCCAGAGTGAGAAGCATGAAGAAGTCTACATGGGGGCATTTCCTAGAGCAGGAGGGGTGCCACCGTGCTGGGGAGGGGGGCAGTGCCACAGGTAATGTTCAGTGGCCTTATGTCCCAGAACTGGTGGTGATGGACACACTTCCACAGCTGGCTGGGAGTGTTGGGCTGACGTCTGCACCAGAGGCATCCAGCGGTGTGTCAGACACTGTCGAGGATGTCTCCTGGGCTCGGGCTGCAGCTGCCCCGACAAGCCCACCAAGTTACCCGTCTTACATGTGTTTAGGGGGAGAAGAGCTACTTGGAGATATATTTCTAGCCCTTGCTTAGGGGCCGGGTTAAGGTCACCTGGCTGTGGTTGAGGACCACCATCTGCCCGGAAGGAAAAAGGGGATGTTGCCAGGTGGGTCAGTGTGGGGCAGGCACAGCAGCCACCCCACCTCAGAGCAGGGCTTTTGTTCTTCATCCTGGAGAAGCTGCTGCACCACAACTGTCCATCAGCGGGCACATCGATCAGCCTGTGGTGGCAGCTTCTGTATGGCAGTGTCTACTGGCCTACTTCAGGTATTTCTTCTTGTCCCCTCCTGCACAAAAGCTGCAGGAAGGGACAGCAAAGGTCACTCCTTATTCAAGGTTCTGCACAGCCTGGAGGACACATAACCCAGTTTCCCCAGTCAGCTCATACGCTGGCGGGGACAGAGGATTCTATGGTGGCTTTTAATCTGCTTCAAGATAAATAAGAAAACACAATAATAGGGGTCTCCTCCTGTTGTGTAACATTAAGTTTCAGTGTTGTGCTGTGTTAGCTTGCTTTGTAGTGGAGAAAAGCCCAGTTCTCATGGAGGCAGCCAAAGGCTTTGGCAGGTGACTGGGGAACGGCTGAGTTCACGGGCACTCAGAAAAGCAAAGAGGTGATGGCTTGTTTTGCTGAGACAAGTGCATCATCTAAACAGGAAATGAGCAGCAGTGGCACAGGGTGTGCAGCTCTCAGGCCACCACTGAAAATCACTGCTTCAAGCCACACGCAGCTCCAGGAGGGCGGCACTGCCCCAGCCTGCACAAACGCCTCCTCAGCCCATGTAAGGAAATCAAAGAGGATCAGCCCAGGGTTTAAGTTATCCTTGGTACAGGTGCATGGTTTGATCCTTCCTCTGCGGCTCACAGGGACTCACCCTGCCTGGAAGGGTCCACAGTCGCTCAGCTCAGTTATTGCTGCTCCATGGAACAGGCCTTGGCGTTAGTCTGAATGGTGCTGGTACATAGGGAACAACTGAGACTGACCTAAGCATTAACTAGTGATGCTGCAGAATGGAAGTACCATTCCTGTAAGTAGGAATATTGCTTTTTCATTAACTTGGTCTTCAAGGGGAGAAAAAATACATATATATATTATATGAAACCCTGAACAGATCAACAGTTCAGCATCTTAAAATCCAATTGGCTAAACCAGTTCAATTACTGTTAAAAACAACCCAAACCAGGCTTGTTCAGCCTGGAGAACAGAAGGCTTGTGGGAGACCTTAGAGCAGCCTTCCAGTACCTAAAAGGGTCCACAAGAAATCTGGAGAGGGACTTTTCACAAGGGCATGAAGTGACAGGATGAGGGGGAATGGCTTTAGACAGTGGGGAGATACAGATTAGACATTCACTATGAGGGTGCTGAGGCGCTGCCACAGGGTGCCCAGAGAAGCTGTGGCTGCCCCATCCCTGGCAGTGTTCAAGGCCAGGTTGGACACAGGGGCTTGGAGCAAGCTGCTCCAGTGTGAAGCAACCCTGCCCAGGGCAGTGGGGTTGGGACTGAATGATCTTTAAGGTCCCTTCCAACCCAAGCCATTCTGTGATTCACTAGTTTAGACATGCCGCTGTAATTGCAGCTACTCCCTCGCTTTCTGTTTTACTCCAGGGTATTTGTAGATCATGCAGCTGACAGCACCGGTCTATGGTGGCACCAGCAGACCCAGTGTGAGCAAGTTTTCTTGCCAGGGGGCCATGACACCGGGATGCTTAAGATGTGCAGGAGCCACTCACTCTCTCTGCCGCAGTGCCGCAGCCTGGAAAACAGAACTGATGTACCCCCCCCAGCCAGATGGGAGAGCAAAACGTGTG